TTGTCATCAAAACGCGATTTGACGCCAGATGGCGCCCATTGTACGAAAATCTAGGCCAAGTCACATGATCCACAGTGATCAAAATGGCGGACGTTATTGAAGCAGCATTATCATATTCCTCGCTCGAACTCGAGAATTATCTCTACGCGTACAATCTAATAATGATATTATATATATAATAATATCTGGAACTTGTGAAATGAGTACAACAATAAAGCAGTGCTTCACAAGTGTGTGTTTTTGTTTTTTTTTAATTTATAACATGTCCAAATTATTTAATAAATTATTTAATTATTTATTATTTCGAGAATTATCTCTACGCGTACAATCTAATAATGATATTATATATATAATAATATCTCGAACTCGAGATAATTCTCGAGTTCGAGCGAGGAATATGATAATGCTGCTTCAATAACGTCCGCCATTTTGATCACTGTGGATCATGTGACTTGGCCTAGATTTTCGTACAATGGGCGCCATCTGGCGTTAAATTGCGTTTTGATGACAAGTTGCGTTTTGATGATGACTAGTTGCGTTTTGATGATGACAAGTTGCGTTTTGATGATGACTAGTTGCGTTTTGACGACTACTAGTCGTATTTTGCCTTCTGATCTGATAACGACGACGACTAATCGTGTTTTCATTTCGACTGATCTGATAACGATGACGACTAATCGTGTTTTGCATTTTTGTATAAACCGCCGCCCATACAAAACCCTAAACCCATACAGGGGAAATGATCCGAATTCTGTATCAACAGAATACGTACATAATCCGGCTATCTTCCCAACCATACTGGAACATACATAAATATGACAGCCCGATATAAACGTGGTCACATTGAGCTGGTGTCAGAAACCACTCAGTTCAGGAGTCACGTGCCAGTCATGGATATAAATTTAGAAACCCCGATATTCGCATTACAAAGCTAAATATATCATGCGTTCATATCTCCTCATTGTCGACCATTCCTCCATCATCACGACAAGCTGCGTTTCTGGGAAAATTTTAACCGTTCGTTAAAATGCAGGGTGTGGTAGTAGTCTCGCTGGTGGGATTCTCTGTTGTTTGGACAGTGGTGCTGTCTGGGTATACTGCAGCCTCGGCAGGATTGTCAAACAGCACAGGTAATGAACAATGAATAACAGGTGTGCAAAAAATGAATGCCATCTTTGGGTGTTAGGTCTTTTTTCAGAATTTTGTTTTTTTTTTCCTGTGGTTATTTATTTATTTATTTATTTATTTATTTATTGAGAGAGAAAAAGCAAATTTATGGCTCCATATAACTCATCCTGTTCTCATGTATCTTTTTTTCTATTAATCTAGCGTTCTGTTAATTTATGTATCAGGATTTCATTTATTGATATTGACTTTAATATACTTTTTTCGTCCTACTATAAATTTCTAACATGAACAGAAAACATTATACTTTAAGCATAATTGACCAACATTAGCTATTTGATAATTTCATTCATTCATTTCCTTTATTTCTTTATCCTTTTTTATATTTATTTCTCATATTTATTTTATTTTCAACAGATTGTGAAATCTACGCAGGCGACATAGTTTTTGTTCTGGACGAGTCGGGTAGCATTAAGAAAGAGAATTGGGAAAAAGTTCTCGCCTTTGTCCAAGATGTAGTCCAAACGTTTGATATAGGCCCTGACAACACATATTTTGGGGTTGTCACGTTCGGCAATGGAGCCCAAAAGCAGTTCGACTTGCAATCTTTTCCAACCAGAGATGGTTTAGTGGAGGCCATTGGTAACATCTCTTATGGGGGAGGAGGAACTGATACTGCAAAAGCCATTGATGTTCTGAGATTGACAATGTTTAACCCCAAAAACGAGTAGGTATACACCTTCTTGAGAATTTTCGTGATAATTTTAGACTTAAAAGAAAATTTAATTTTCGGGGTCTCCATTTTCAAAAATAATTCTTCTGTAGTATGAAAGTTGTCTGTGGATTGTTCCATGCATATATTACACAGATGATAAGACATAAAACCTAAAAGGGTCGTCCACTTTTATCCTCGTCTCCATAAGTCTACATGTACAAACCATACGCTGGAGGAAAGGGCCTCAGTGACCTCTGTACGCATACGAAAATAATGCTAAAAATGGATGACCCCTTTGCATGGTTTAATATTTTGAAAAATAAAAAAAATGTACAAGACAAATTATGCCTCACCCACCACCCATTTTACTCCAAAACTCGATCCTATTTGCATCAGCTTTAAAGAAACAAACGTTAACATCTCGTTGACGTATTTCAGAAAAGGCGGTCGACCGGGTATTCCTCATATTGGTATCGTTCTAACCGACGGTCTCTCCACTGAACGTGAGGCAACACAGCAAAGCGCTAAAGAAGCTCGGGATTCCGGCATCATTTTATTCGCCGTTGGAGTCGGCCACACAGATTACGAAGAGCTAAGGGGCATAGCGAGCGATCCCGATGACTCCCACGTTTTTCATGTGAATGATTTCAGCAGTTTTCAGCTCATACATGATAAGCTGGTTCGTGACGTTTGCCATGGTGAGTACAGTGTAGCTGGTCCTGGTTTCACAAAAATCTCTTAGAAGTCAGGTTCCCTGGCTAAGAACTGAACTACCAAATTTACGCGGTCACGTGCACACATCTTATCCAACCAGGAACAGTGTTACAGCACTCTTTTTCGAAATCCTAGTCAACTAAGCCAGAAAACTGACTTAAGTTTTTGTTTCGTGAAACCGGGGCCAGGAATGTGTGGATATCACGAAGTACACTGACGTCGACATGATGTGATTATGACGCCCTACAACGACGTTATAATGATGTCACAATGGCGTCGCAATGATTTTTCATTATGACATTATGACATATCAATAGATGACACAGTTGTGAGAACAGTGAAAACGCGCCTCATTATTATCCACCCGCTTCAGTTGTTACCAGAGAGGCGAATTTCCACTGTCCACTGTAACTCTGGGCCTCCGTCACCTTTGCCTTTCACTGCATTTACCGGTTTTCTCTGAATCAAATACCTACAACTACCGGTACGTGATAAACTGATTCAAAGATTGTGCGCGGTTTTTAGATCCTTTTATTAATCTTGAAAACAACCGAAATAAGACTTACGGTTTGAGATNTAAAAAAAGTATGTCACTGAGTGATAAAAACATCCAGTTTTCTGTTGTGAGATATTTTGGTCAATGATATCAAATCTGACATAAGATGCCATTCAAAAGAAAGGAACACCCCCAGAAAACCATATCAACAGTTTGATGTCAGTATTAATTTAAGCTAAAATATTAAAGAAAATGATAGCTCCCGGACAGTGATATGTTACACAGTCAAAGAACTCACTACATTAAATCATGAAAAGTCAGTCATTGCGGGTATGACCTCCAGCAGCCGCTTGCAGCGCCCTCATCCTACATGGCATACCCTGTGACACGTTTTTTAGAGTTTGGTTGGGGATACCATTCCACGCAGTTCATCACTATTTACCGCCGATGACCATAGTCCATAGCTATTAATTCTGTGAGTTACTTTTGCCCAAAGGTTTTCAATTGGGTTCATATCTGGAGAGTTTGCAGGCCAGGACAGTTGCTGAACCCACTGGTTTTGAAGAAAAACAGTGATTCTGCGGCCTCGATGTGGGGTTACGCAGTCGTCTTGGTACACAAAGTTGTTCCTGAAGATGACTCTTACCAATCGAAGCATTGCTTGCTGTAGAATGTCTCTGTAGGAATCCTGGATGAGGTTGCCTCCTAGAAAAACCAACTGGTTCTGGGCACCGACATGAAATGCTCCCCAAACAGAGACGTTACCATCCCCTGCTTGCACCCTAGGCAGTACACAATCATCGTTTTATGCCCCTCGTACACGTCGGTGGACACGGATTCGACCATCAACCCTAAAAAATCCATATCTGGCCTCATCACTGAAAACGACGTGATTCCAGTGTTTTGGCTGCATACGCATGTGGTCCCCAGCCCATTGCAGACGTCGCTGTATGTGACCTGCTGTTAACAGTGGTTTCCCTACTGGCCTTTGTCCAAAATAACCGGCTTGCAGTAATCTCTTGTTCACGAGGGACCTTGAAACGGGCATTTGAATGACATTCTGCCTCTCTTTTCTGAGGACACTGGTTGTCTTTGTACGACCAGCACGGCGTCCTCTAAGGAGAAGGCGATCCTGTCTTCTTGGTGTGATACGCGGACACCCTGGTGGAGGTAATGGAGTAGGTGCCCCGTTGCAGCATTTCTTTGGAGGACTTTACAAACGGTTCCTGATAAATGTTGAAATACCTTGCAATGGCTGTCCGTTTCTGGCCATTTTCTCTGAGAGCAAGAATCCCATAGTAAGATGCGTTGCTTAGCTGTCGAACCACATCTTCACTAAGGTACCTGTTAAGTTTCAGAGCGATCCCTTTGTTGCTTCTCTAAATACACTCCAAAGATTGACCAAACCCATGCGTTTTTATACAAGGGCAGATATTGCCGAAAAGAACACCCCTCACATTTCTGACCACAGAACATGCAACTGCATGCATCAATTGTTTCGAGAGTTGTGTGGTAAATAGGTAACACACCTTGCTACACATGGAGTGACACCTCAGCTTTGTATTTAAAGTAGTTAGAGAGAAATTAAATACTTTGTAGAAAATTTACTCGCCAAAAAATAATAACCCTGTATGTCTCATTTAACGTTCACATACGGTTCTCAATCTATTCTAGAACATTTGGTGTACTTTTTTTTTTTTTTTTTACAGTTCTAATGTTGTTCTGTAATTAATGTAACAGTTCGAAAACTGTTTTTGAGATGTCCTTCAGAATGTCCTAGAACAGATTAAGAACATTTTTCATTAAAAGAGAAAAACATTATGTTATGAGACAAATTTTCGCAGGGGCATTTTTGTTCTATGATATAGTGCTGTCAAATAAAAAAAAATACACGGTGATTAATTTGCTTACTCCAGATGATAATGAAACAGCAGTGTTTTTGAGGATAGAACTGCAATATCGATTTCAAACAAATTTCCCTCCCTTTGTCAGCACCGTTTTTTAAACGTCTATTTAATCACAACAACAAGCAAGCATTAAAATAAGCTGTTGGATTTTTTTTTTCTTTAAAAGGCACCTTTCAGATTTTATCGGGAAAAGGCGAAATAATACCTTTGTTCATGGGCTTATATCTCGTAAACAAACAAAATATTGCCAAACACTGACATTGAATTGCACTGTAGTTCACACCCGACAGTAGCCGTCAACATCCTACTGAGTTACAAAGTTACGTTGGAAAGCGATCGGTATCTCACACCATACAAAGCAGTGAAACTAATTTTTAATTGTATTTTATGCAAATTATTATTGAACTCACGATCCCCTTTCATTTAATTTGCAATGAATGGTTTCAGAGAGTGGCCATGTGGAGTTCCGCTCAGATATTTTGTAAACAATCAGATTGTATGCTGACCTGTTTTCTTATAATCTTGTATGGTGAAAATGTGACGTATGTTATCAAAACCCTAAACCCATACAGGGGAAATGATCCGAATTCTGTATCAACAGAATACGTACATAATCCGGCTATCTTCCCAACCATAATGGAACATACATTAATATGACAGCCCAATATAAACGTGGTCACATTGAGCTGGTGTCAGAAACCACTCAGTTCAGGAGTCACGTGCCAGCCATGGATATAAATTTAGAAACCCCGATATTCGCATTACAAAACTAAATACATCATGCGTTCATATCTCCTCACTGTCGACCATTCCTCCATCATCACGACAAGCTGCGTTTCTGGGAAATTCTTAACCGTTCGTTAATATGCGGGGTGCGGTAGTAGTCTGGCTGGCGGGATTATCTGTTGTTTGGACAGTGATGCTGTCTGGGTATACTGCAGCCTCGGCAGGATCGTCTAACACTACAGGTAACGAACAATGAATAACAGGTGTGCAAAAAATGAACGCCATCTGTGGATGTTAGGTCTTTTTCAGAATTTGCTGTATTTAATTCTGTGGTTATTTATTTTTTATTTATTTCTTGAGAGAGAAAAAGCAAATTTATGGCCCCATATAACTCATCCTGTTCTCATGTATCTTTTTTTCTTTTATCTAGCGTTCTGTTAATTTAGTTATCAGAAATTTATTGATATTGACATTAATTATAATATACTTTTTTTCGTCCTACTATAAATGTCTAACATGAACAGAAAACATTATACTTTAAGCATAATTGACCAACATTAGCTATTTGATAATTTCATTCGTTTATTTCCATTATTTCTTTATCCTTTTTATATTTATTTCTTATGTTTATTTTATTTTTAACAGACTGTGAAATCTACGCAGGCGACATAGTTTTTGCTCTGGATGAGTCGGGTAGCATTGAGAAAGACGATTGGGAAAAAGTTCTCGCCTTTGTCCAAGATGTAGTCCAAACGTTTGATATAGGCCCTGACAACACATATTTTGGGGTTGTCACGTTCGGGAATGGAGCCCAAAGGCAGTTTGACTTGCAATCTTTTCCTACCAGAGATGGTTTAGTGGAGGCCATTGGTAACATCTCTTATGGGGGAGGAAGAACTGATACTGCAAAAGCCATTGATGTTCTGAGAGTGACAATGTTTAACCCCAAAAACGAGTAGGTATACACCTTCTTGAGAATTTTCGTGATAATTTTAGACTTAAAAGAAAATTTAATTTTTGGGGTCTCCATTTCTCAAAATAATTCTTCTGTAGTATGAAAGTTGTCTGTGGATTGCTCCATGCATATATTACACAGATGATAAGACATAAAACCTAAAAGGGTCGTCCACTTTTATCCTCGTCTCCATAAGTCTACATGTACAAACCATACGCTGGAGGAAAGGGCCTCAATGACCTCTGTACGCATACGAAAATAATGCTAAAAATGGATGACCCCTTTGCATGGTTTAATATTTTGAAAAATAAAAAATGTACAAGACAAATTATGCCTCACCCACCAGCCATTTTACTCCAAAACTCGATCCTATTTGCATCAGCTTTAAAGAAACAAACGTTAACATCTTGTTGACGTATTTCAGAAAAGGCGGTCGACCGGGTATTCCACATATTGGTATCATTCTGACCGACGGTCTCTCCACTGAACGTGAGGCAACACAGCAAAGCGCTAAAGAAGCTCGGGATTCCGGCATCATTTTATTCGCCGTTGGAGTCGGCCACACAGATTACGAAGAGCTAAGGGGCATAGCGAGCGATCCCGATGACTCCCACGTTTTTCATGTTAATGATTTCAGCAGTTTTCAGTTCATACATGATAAGCTGGTTCGTGACGTTTGCCATGGTAAGTACAGTGTAGCTGGTCCTGGTTTCACAAAAAATATTTTAAAATAAGTCAGGTTCCCTGGTTAAGAAATTAATTACCAACGTGACGCGGTCACGTGCACACATCTTATCCAACCAGGAACAGTGTTACAGCACTCTTTTTCGAAATCCTAGTCAACTAAGCCAGAAAACTGACTTAAGTTTTTGTTTCGTGAAACCGGGGCCAGGAATGTGTGGATATCACGAAGTACACTGACGTCGACATGACGTGATTATGACGCCCTACAACGACGTTATAATGATGTCACAATGGCGTCGCAATGATTTTTCATTATGACATTATGACATATCAATAGATGACACAGTTGTGAGAACAGTGAAAACGCGCCTCATTATTATCCACCCGCTTCAGTTGTTACCAGAGAGGCGAATTTCCACTGTCCACTGTAACTCTGGGCCTCCGTCACCTTTGCCTTTCACTGCATTTACCGGTTTTCTCTGAATCAAATACCTACAACTACCGGTACGTGATAAACTGATTCAAAGATTGTGCGCGGTTTTTAGATCCTTTTATTAATCTTGAAAACAACCGAAATAAGACTTACGGTTTGAGATCAAGGGATTATAATTAATAATCAGTGTACATAAATGCTGACCGAATTAACATGATTTTGCAAGCAGAACAATATAGATATTATCATATAACTATTTAAGGTAAATCAGTCATACTTCAGTAGATACATAGGCCCTATAATTATCAACAAATCCTACCTGCTTCGTGGGCTATATATGGATTCTAGGCAGATAATGACGTCTAGTTGTGTAATTTTTAATGATATATCTCCTGCCTGCCCTTCCCTAGTGTTTAGAAATAGTTTGTTTTATAGATAATGTAGATAATGTAGATAATAGTGTACGTAAATATTATCTACATTATCTACATTATAGATAATGTAGATAATATTTACGTACACAAATTGTATCATGCACTGTGGCTTATACAAGCGCTAAGGGGGGGGGGGGCAAGGAAAATTGACAACACAGTACGCAATACGCAAACAGTAGACAATTTAATGCCATTGATATTTATACCGGTACATAAAATGACTGTTTTTTGCCGTTTTTATGTTTCATATCTGTAGAAAATGTAATAACATCCTTTCAAGAACTTTTTGGTTGATTTCCTCTAGTTTTTTTCTTTTACAAATTCATCTTTTGGGGTATAAAATGCAATAGATGTGACAGAGCTAAAAAAAAAAATTAGATGTAACGGAAAAAAGGCCCCTAGAAGAATACTGGTACATTCTTAAGGAAATTCCCTGTAGGACGTCATATGTGATGCCTGAGACTCTATAGGAATCTATAGGAATTTCATCGGACGTCCCATAGGATTCCTATCTAGACTGTAGGACAGATGTCCTATATGGCCCTATTGAGGTTTGGGCCAATTTCCCCTAGGTTCCTATAAGTATAAGGGTAAGCCTTGCCTACTAGTAGCCATTTCGCAGGGGGGACCCTCTGTCAGGGCCACAGATTGACTTAAACTATATACTCACAGAAGTTTCTTTGGTTAATTCTGTACAATTGCCTGCACTGCGAGAATTTTCAGCACAGAGTTGAGGTCATCACTCAGCTGGTATGACGTATTATTGACGTCATCACAGCCGATATGACGTACAATTGACGTCATCACTTATCTGGCCTTTGGTACAGGTATGGTGAGGTGGAGACGCATTTTCTGACAAATTAGACCATTTAACCCGCTCAGTTCAACTTCTTATCTCGAGAAAAAAATCCAGTCTTGGTTCAGAATGGACCATTTTGCATTAAACCCCACCCTCCCTATAACCAACGGAGCAGGGAGATCTGTTAAAAAAAACCCTGTAACAAGGAGGCCCCGTACTGTTCATACAGCCCAGACATTTGACCGTTTATGGATTCACTGGTTGCCTAGAAAAACATCTTTCCATGGGGAAAAGAAGCAGCAAATTTCACTCTCATTTGTTTGTTTGTTTGTTTGTTTGTTTGAACGTTAAAAATATTTACCATTAACAAATTATTTCAATTTCCTCATTTCAGATTTATGCCCCAAGGACTGGAAGAGGATAGGTAACAAATGTTTCTTCCTGTCCTCATACCAAACCTCCTGTCTCCAGGCCAGCAAGAGATGTACTGCCCTTCACTACAAGGCACGGCTCGCTACCGCCCGTAATAAACACGAGTTTAAGACGCTCACCAAACAACTGGTCTTCCCGGCGACGCAACATACGCGATCGTACTTCATCGGTGAGTGGAAGGTGCAGAGATTTTTTAAGAAAACAATGTCTTTGGCTTTCTCTTATTATAATTTTGTTGTCGTTGTTATAATTCACATGATTCCCTCCCACTGTCGAACTGTGATAGTGAAACTTTTATTATTTACTCACTTATTCATCAAGTTACTTTTCCGCAATCAAGAATTTTTTTATTTAATCATGAATTGATGGATTTTTTTATTTAATCATGAATTGATGGATTTAGTAGACGAAATTATACGTTTCTTGCGATTTCATACGCGAATGTCTTGGGAAATCTTTTACTGAAATGTGTGTTTAATTATCTGTGATATTAATTATCTGTGTTGATTCAAGTATTTATTATCAAAAACTGTTATTACATATAGGCCTAGATGATCTCGATCACCCCTCAAGCTTCAAGTTCAGTGACGGAAGTCCACTGGGTGGCTATAACGAGTGGATTCCAGACCTCAGTAATACGGAACGAACTGGGTGCGTGATATTGGATCACGAGGAATCGTTTATGTGGCGCGGAGTCGACAAGACCAAACACGAGGACTATTTCATCTGTGAAATAAATAAAGAAGCTGTACAATAACGCTAAGCCACCGTGCAGAATATTTAAAACTACATATGTAGATACCTTTATCCTCTTGAAATTATTAAGTTTATGTTCCGTTTGCGAAAAAAAATTTACAATAATTATAAGTAAATAAAAAGACGGACCCTGTCATCTGTCAGTCCTCTTGAGAGTTCTTTAATTGCGTACAAAGCATAAAGTCAAAGCTTGAAATGATGGCAAAATTTGAAAAGAACTACTTAATCCTCCCAGATTGTCACTGAATATAATGGGAAGGGTCAAGAAAGGGGGGGTCAAAGCTTAATTAGTCAGAAAAAAAGCAGGTTTCCACAAGAAATTTGAGCTTTTCCAGGAAAATATTACAAAATAACGTGACAGAGTCTCCCATGCTGGAGACCCCGCTTCCCCTTCATTTGTACAGGTGAGCCTCGCCCTAGATTTTGACCCACTTAGGTCAGACTAACCTTAACCATTAACCTATTTGTACAGGTGAGCCTCGCCCTAGATTTTGACCCACTTAGGTCAGACTAACCCTAACCAGACTTTCTGTTATAGGGACCCTCAGTTTCATTACACAGGGTCCCCCTTCACAGTGACAATGTCTCAGCTCTTAAAGTCCAAACTGTGGACCTCTGTGGGTACTAAGAATGATGGTGCTCAGAGACAACATGAAGGATTTAGTGTAAAAACAATCCCAATAACATATTCACAACTTTATTCTCAACATGCAAGAAATAAGTACAAAGGCACATAAAATGGAACTCTCTGACGGATACCCTGAGCATCTTCAACACCAATTCTTTTCATTTGGTTCAGCATACTTCCATGCCTAGAAAATTACCAGAAAAATTTAAGTAGAAATAAAAAATACTGCCTTTACAAGGGGTCTGTGAACATCCAAACCCGAAGTCCATTAATTTGGACCAAACCATCGGCGAGTCCTGAGACTCCTGGCTTTCTTTGTCGTACATGTGGCCATCATCTTTGGCTCAGTTGCCAGCCTTATCTGACTTAATAATACAGCAGCTCTACATTGTATACATGTGACATAACAAAAACCTCAGCTGCCATAACATAACATTAGCCTTCAGAGTACAGATTATATACTCGGTAGCATAATCCATTATTATTACCTGTATTATTATTTTAATGCTTCTTTGTTTCTATTTTTTCTCACATAAGAGATATTCCAATGTGTTATCACATATGGATGAGGCACATTGAAATCTCTCTCATCTGAGTAATTATTTTTATTGTGGCAAAAGAATTTCTGGTCATTATTACTCAATGAAAGCTCTGACTGGGTGTACATAAAATTCATATAAATTGCCATCCTAACAAACTGCTACACAGAAGGTACATTTCAATTGTTTAAACCAGACATGATTTTGGAATGAAAAAAGCAAAAAAAAAAAAATTGCAATAAATGGATCTTTGACCTTACCCTAAAAGTCGTAAAATGCAAAATTCAGTTCTGAATTGGAAAAAAAAACTTGTCTGAAACTTAACCATTACTGAAGATGTAAAGAACACAAAAATGCAAAATATATGGAATTTCATACATGTATGTACCCAAAGAAAAAAGAATTCAATAACATATTCTATTATACTGTCTTCCCACAAAGTGAAAAGAAATACTTTGCAATTGTATACTGGTATAATAAATAACAGACTAGAACAGGGATGAGATCAGTCCCCACTGAAAAAGTAGGAAAATTGGCTGGGGTCCAGGGTACAGGATTCACAAGAATGATCCATATGACCCTGAAAAAGTCGGAATTCTGACAAAAGTCGGAAAAGTCTCATCAGTGCTAGTAATAAACGCATGCTTAATGGAAGAGCTCTCTGCTGGCTATTAGCGCACTCGACTTCTCTAGGGATGACCTCTCCCCTGGAGAACTATCCAAACTTATCAGACATTTTCGATGCTCGCTAGTAGCAAGCTCCCCTACCACAACAGCTCTGAATAAATAGCTATAATATCAATAATCCTGACTAATAATATAACATAACCTTTCTGATATAATAAATTAATTTGATTATTTCAAAATTAAAATCTAATTTGTACTTTGAAGTCAATATATAAAAAAAATACAAAAAAGGCATAATATAATACTACAGAAACCAGTTTCGCATTATGGTTATTCACAATAATCCCCCAAAGCAAATAATTTAATACTGCCACATAATAACGAAGCCTGGATAAACAATATTACATAACATTCTAAAAATCTGATTAAAAACTGATTATCACTTATTAACAAAACAGCAAATCTTGAAGCTAATATAAGAACACCAGTTGCGTTTTAAAGCATTTTACTAACAATAAAAAACAAAGCCATAAATGCTCCTGCATATGGCAAATCTCTGATGATGCTGCCTGTTCCCATTCCTGGTCCATGCATCTTGGAAATCCTATACATCTCAATCAGGCAGACCACAATGTGAAGAACATCAGGGGGAGTCATTCCTATGTCTCTAAACACTTGGAAAGCATAACCTCTGCCAAGGAAGACATTAGCCACAAACTGGTCGATGCCAGCCACAACCACGTGCATGAAATTAATGCTGAACACCATCAAAACCTTTCTCGAAGTCACTGCTTGGTTTTTGTTGCAGAGGTTCAAATCGACTGCTGTTGAGATTATTTCTGTTGTGGAGAACAGTAACTGGTGATACCACTGGGAGTAGAACCTCTCGTTTATGTAGTTAAAGTAGTTCCAAACTGAGTAATAATGTGGATAGACGGAGGCGGCAAACAAGAAAAACCAAGTCCAACGTACTGCACCCTTCCTCAGCACCTTAATCAAATACCTAGAATAATATTATTTTTTTCTTCGTGAAACTTGTGGTGCATTAATAAAACTTATCCATTTTTCGTACATTTTGTTAACTGCATTAAAATCAACCCCACATGATGGCTGTGGTGCAAGTTTGACAGTTACTGGGAATCACAAATTAACAACTATGAATGCTACAAAGTAGGAATCCATTGATATTCATATTTTAACGTAAATAGAAAATGTTAACAAATCCATGAATAATCATTCTTACTATCACAACTATAATTCACCACTTAAAGGACCACAATTAAAAAGACATATCTGAACACAGGAATTATTCTTAAATCAACTCTATTTTTGTCCTGTCTTTTGTGTACAAACAACACGAAAAAAAAAATGTACAAATATTTTTAAAAATTTAAAATCATACCCACCGAATCACCTCATAACTGATGAGCAGAGATCCCACAATAAGGGCCCAGATCTGCAGGCTGCCAGCAGTGGCATTGAAATAAACATTTTTGTATCCTGTCACTCCTCGTTCATAGCTGCCTGAAAAACGACAGGGTAAAAGTTGTCAATTGCAAGCTGAAAATTATTGCAAAGAAGCAGATTTTTGTCCATTTTGTAAAAACTCCATGACAAATAATAGATATTGGTGCAATAAGGAATTTAATAGTAATTAAAACAACAGTGAGAGGCAGAGGGAGAGACAGAGATTACAATCAAACCTTGGGTAATCTTATTGTCCTACTCTAATGCCAACCCAATTTACCCAGGAAAGTAATAAATATTCATATTATCCAAAAGCATACACAATGTTTAATAAGGCAGCTACACATACACAACTGCTCACGTTGCATGTAACATCAGACAGTGAGTTAACGTTTAGTTTTATAATATAAGTACCTCATATTAACTATACACACAGTGACACAGCATTATTTTAGTTTATGTCCTAGTAAGTCAACTATTCTGTGTATAATATATATAAATATATATTCTCTCTAAATTAATCCATCTCCAAATTAATCTGTCTCCAAGAGACAGATTTAAGGGCACAATCATATGCACCACCTCTAAATATTGTGTCAAAACAGCTACAGGTGCAGGTGCCCTTGTCTACCTTCCCCACTTTCCCAGGTACCCAGAACCATCTGTGGATTATTCCTGGATATCAAGAAAAATCAACATCAGTATAGATAACTTATACCACAATGTATAAAAAAATTGTACTTAAATATATATTTTTAACGGAGACTATAAAGTGGGATTGATGTGGTAATTAGCAGTTAAAATGTCAGCCTGTTTGGATCATGCTTACAAGTTTTAAGACACAAATAACGGGATGTGTGGACTTACTAGACTCTCTGTACTTTTTCACTGTGTTCAGTATTAAGCTAAACCACCAAAATTTGAGAGAGAGAGAAAGAGAGTGAGGAAAGAGAGAGAGGGAGGGAAAGTTACCTATATGAATGTATGGAATTCCAATGAGTGCCAACATCCCCACTGTAAATGTCATGGCGTGGGACTTCCATGAGTCCAACTTTAACTTCCTG